TTTTTTTCCCCAAACGAATTATAAAACCGATTTAAAATGAATTCAGAAAAGATTTTTTTTTCATCGCGTCTGTACTTAGATACTTACGTACGTGCGTGTGCACGTATGTATATATATATCTCGAACAACTCAAAACGTTGAAATTTTGTATGTGGGACTGCTATAACATGTAGATGTGCACCTACGTTTTTGGTTGCAATCGGCGCACCAAAAGTATATAAATATATGTACATATATATATATTTATAACAACTTTGTTACTCTTCTTAGGGAGCTCAGTTTCTTTATTCTTATATGTTTGTAAATTGTGCATTTTTTGCTTTAAAAATGATTGAATTATGTTGCTCTTACCTTACGGTTAAGGTTTCTATGCATTTAGTTACCCTGCATGTTATAGTTGTAGAATTATCAACCATTTAAAAGATGTGTAAGTGCGACTAAGCCTAACTAAGCTTCGCAACTACAAAGTAACGTCTTCTTTTATTATTTTCAAATTAAATTATGCTTAATCCATTCTGGAATTATCATTTAAGTTATTACATTATCCCGTATTTTGACTCAGCATAGCGTCCAAGATAAATTAAGTCGGTTTCTACGCCGTCGGTGTTCTTTTGCTGAGTGAGAACAAAAGTAAAACTTTCATTTTTGTGCACTGAAAAATCTGACTTCTTGCCCGCCGGCCGAATGGCTTAGGAACTGTAATTTAATTTTTTTAAATTCTTTCAACTGTACTTGGTGTTTTATGTTTGCTATATCTTTCAAGTTTTAATTCTGAAATATGAGAAAATATGTTTTAAATGAAATGCAGGAAAAATGCCTATAATTTATATTGGATGAAAAGTTCACCTGGCTGCCTCACCTTAAAGCCCAAAGAGAAAAGGCTCGCCGAATCGCAAACAATCTGCAAAAAATGCAAGGCCCGCACTGGGGCCTTTGGCCCAATATCTACAAGATACTTTACTCCACTGTCGCGGAGAGGGTCCTAACCTACGGAGCAGCCATTTGGGCAGCCCCGATGACAGTCAGAAAGGCAAAATTGCTAAGTAGTGCACAGCGACCATTTGTCCTGGCCATAACGAAGACCTACAGGACAACGTCGACTGCGGCCGCTTCGGTATTAGCAGGGCTTATGCCGCTCCCAATCAAAGCGCAGCAAGAAGCCTCAATTGCAAAGGTGACGCAACTCCAACAGCCATGCACATATGGGGATACATGCTATCTGCCAGAAGTCTACGAAACACGCAGGTCCAAACTAAGCACACATCCGTCGGAATATGGACTGGGCATACGGACTTTCCACTCACCAGCGTTAACCCCGCGCTTAGACGGACCAGGGGCCGTGCTTTATACAGACGGGTCAAAAATTGATAACGCTGTAGGCAGTGCCTATATAAATGGAAACATAGCAAAGGAATGGAAGGGCCGTCTGGGCGCACAGAACTCAGTGTTCCAAGCGGAAGTAGTTGCCCTCACAAAGGCAGTGAAATGGGCAATTGACACACGGCAGAGTCGAGCTACGATATTTACTGACAGCCTGTCAAGCATTTATGCTATCAACAACCCTCTCCAGCGCTCCGCACTAATCTCGCACCTGCAAGAAGTCCTCCGTCTACAAGAAAAGTCAATGAGAATCCAAATTTCCTGGGTGAAGGCGCACGCCGGAATCCAGGGAAATGAAGCAGCAGACGCTCTTGCCAAGAAGGCTGCCCAAAATGAGGAAACGGAGCAGATTCAGGTGCCCCTGCCCCGGTCATGCCTAAAGAGGCAAATAGAGGAGTCCGCCATTGGAAACTGGCAGAATGAATGGGACCAAATCCCGCAAGGCCGCAGAGCATATGAGTTCCTGCCCAAGGTAGAGGTGGACCGGCTCATCTCATCGCCCTACCTCACGCGATATATAACAGGCCACGGCCCCTTTCCGACGTACTTTGCAGAAAGGGGTCTAGCAACAACTGATATGTGTGTTTGTGACAACGTGGGCTCACCAGACCATTATGTCACGGAGTGCCCCTAACAGCAGAATGGCACATCAAATTCCCAACTACCAATGTTCTGCCTTTCAAACGCCTTCTCATAAAACATCGAGGCACGCGGGAAAAGCTTAAAAGCATAATGGCCAAACTAGAAAAAAAATGGGCATAGACCTCTGCAGGCCGGAATAGGGCACATGCAATAAACACAATTGGCATAAAAGCATCTTACAACTGTGAAGTCTCTAGATGGTTGCAGGGCCAGGGTAATACCCGAGTAGTCATAGAAAGCCGTCCGGGTGCCCTGTCCTGCTGTCACCTGTCACCTGTAATTTAATAATCCGGGCAAGGAAGTCATGTGGTGAACACATCACAGTTTTTGTATTATTTTACCTGGCCGGATTTGGTGCGTTCGGTTTTACTTCAAATAGGCAATTTGCCTGAAAAATTTCGTTTTGGCATTTTGCGTTGAAAACTTTTAAAGGCTGTATCCCTTTTCAACTGTTGCCACCTAATATTATCGCCCTGTATTATGTTTGAAGAAATTAAATAATGAAGAATGTGCATAAATGTATGTATGTTTCTCGTATTGTGATAAAACAACGGTACTCAGAGCCATCGAAATTTGAATAAAGTAATCTTCCATAGAAGATGGTCATATGGAAGCCCTAATTTGAATTTGAAATTTATTTTATTATCGATTTCAGATCTTGTAACACTTCAACGAATTTTTGATTAAAATACTAAAGGATTTCAAAGCGTGAAATGGAAACATATTACAGAAAAATAAAAGTTTTATCTCCATTGCGAGAGTCTCTGTTTTGGAAGTTTTAAAGATAGGCTCATTTTAAAATTAATTTGCGATATTGCTGTTTAACTGAATTTTATAGTTTAAGAACGTAGAACATGATATTTAATAAATAATGGTATTACACAAAACGTTAAAAAACATCCCTTTGGATGTAATTTGAAATCTTAAACTTTTTTTTTTTTTTGGTACTTACGCATTATCGCAAGCAGGTTGGCGCTATTTGTAAGTTTGAGTAAAAAAAGTATGAATAGAAAGAAAATGTACATTTATTAATTACAGATAATTTTTAATACAGTTTTTTATATTATTTTGTTTTAAAAATATAAAATAGCAATTAAACCCTTCCGGTTTCGAATTTAAATAAGTTGCAGAATTATTTTTTCGGCGGAAATCTTTTGGCTATTGCTTTTTGCACTGATTGAAAACCGTATTCGCCATAACCATGTACACGTCGACTTTATTTTACTTAAATAAACATCTCAGAATTGCACAAAAATAGCATTGCGCACACTCTTGACTTTATCCATGTACACTGCTATTTTCTCATAAATTACAAAAATTTGCACGAAAATGCAGGAAAATTTTGTGAATCTCCACATGCTCTTTTTACAAAACTACGTATAACACGTAGGGTTGCCGTAAGTAGGGTCGCCAAATTTGGCAATTTATGCGAATTTTGGCCTGGTTGCGTTAATACGTAAGTCTTTTTTTTTTTTTTTTTTTTTTTTTTTTTTAAGTTGTTGATCGTACAGTTATTCTCCATTCGTGAGTGTGAGTGATTTTAATCTGAGTGATTTATCGGGATTTTATTTTAAAGTTTGATAGGGTATTTTTTTAACAATATTTAACCGCGTTCGTTTTGGAAGTTGGAGCCAAAAGGAAAATTTGCTGGGATTCAATGGATAATAGATGTCAGCTTAACCAAGGAAGGCTTTCCGCTGTCTCAAATGCGGGAAGAATGTGGAACATGCACCACGTGCTGATAAATCGGATATGTTCGATCGCGTCATTTTGGTATTGGCGACAGTTTTCAAAACGGCCCCAAGACCGTACCGTTCACTAGGATTTTACCTTTTACTGTTTACGCAATTTTTTATCTATATAGAAAATGAAATTTTTTAAAAATTATTTTCCATATATTTTTATATATTTCAGTTTTTGCCATTGCTTTTAATTTAGAAATTTAATATCTTGCACACGAGGAAACGTTTGAAATATCAGTTACATTCTCAAAACGTATATTTTATTGTAAAAAAAATAACTAAGAAATTCTCTGTTTGTTTTTATATGAAAACTTCAGGAAGGAAATTAGGTACTATTCTGTTTCGAGGGCCGTAAAAAAACTGCAGCGAAAATGCATGCGCAAAAGCGCCAAATCTAGCGTATGCGCTGATTTCAGATTGCGTAAGTTTATATAGTTCTATATTTCTTAAGACGCCATTGAAATACTAGTTTAATTTTTAAATACTTTTTTATTTAAAATCCTTTTTTGATATCCTATGGATTTAAAAATTTCCCATTAGGAAAGGTCGGCAATAGAATTTTGGGTAAAGTGCAGATTCATTCACTGCTTGTTTAAAAACTGCTACTGTTTGGCGACCTATTTTCACTTAAAAAAAAAGTCCTCGAATTGCACAAAAATGGCACTGCGCACATCTATCGTTTCAATTCAGTAAAAAACAGATCATTCAAAATTCTAGATAAGCAAATGAAGAAAGGTTGCTTACCTTTATGATCCGCTTTCTTCGATTCTGGTCCGCCGCTTTTGTAGACTCCGATTTGGTTTCAAACTCATCTAAAATTGGCACTATTTTGTATGAATCACTTTATTTGACATTTCACACAAAAGAGGAACAATATCTAAATCATTACACTATCAAAAAAAAACACTTCTAACTACTTAGCATCATTGTTCTACATATCTAACAGCGTCATTAGTCTACTGCGTCACTGTTCTAAAAGCATACACTTATCGTTGCCAGTTCTCAAAAAACAAACTTTCTTTTTCAATTCTCGTCGGTCTGGAGGCTCAATCCGTTCCTCAAGAGCGGAGCGTGCGTCGTTCGCGACACACTCCCCCCGATGAGTTTCACCAAGTTGAAACTCAGCCGCAGTCTGGTTGAAAGTTCATGAGGTTTAATCGTTCAGGAGTTCGAATCACTCGTCCACATCTAGTTGTTTTGAGGGGATTCTGATTGAGTTCATCTGACTGATCTTTGTCAGTGGCACGAAACTCTGTAGATCCAATAGAAAGTTGTAGGCTTATCACACATTTTTTGATCAGAATGCTTCTTTCTCAAACAGTCTCCTATATTATCCGTTTGTAAATGGACTTCCAACGGATAAATTCGTTGTATGGGTCGAAGGATTTCGCCACTTTTGGTGCGTAATTTTACTAAACGAACTACACCATCATTTCCTGGGATGAGTGTTATAATTTTTCCTAGAGGCCACTTAATTCTTTTCTCAGGTGTTTCTATTATTAACACAATGTCTCCAACCGATAGTTTAACATATTTCTCTGTTTTTAAAATATGGTTTTTCAGTTGTCCTAAGTATTCAGTTCTGAACCGTTTTCTTAGATCTTCTCTAACCTTCATCTGATATGCATACCTTTTTTGTAAGTATTTGGCATCAATAATATCTAGATCTGGAACGCCACTTTCTTTTAGATCACGAAAAAACATTGCAGGTGTCAAGGGTTCCAGTTCCAAGTCCTCGGAAATATAAGTTAATGGTCTGCAATTTAAGATATTTTCGCAATCACAGAGGATCGTATAGAGTTCTTCATATTTCAGTGAGGCATTACCTAAAACTTTTCTGAGAATGTTTTTCATCAGGCCAATCATTCTTTCCCAAAATCCACCCCACCAGGGAGAAGCTGGTGGGATAAATTTCCACTTAATGCGGTTGACAACATGATTTTTAATAAGTTTATCCCAGTCAATCATTTTTAAGAGCGAATTTGTACCAATAAAATTACTACCGTTATCAGTGTAGACAATTTCAGGTCTTCCTCTGCGTGCTATAAAACGTCGGAAAGCCAATAAAAAGTTATCTGTTGACAAAGACGTTAAAAGTTCAAGATGAATTGCCCTGTATACAGCACATGTAAATAAAACGATCCACGTTTTCGATCCATTTTTTTAAAAACAAAGGGCCAGCTAAGTCGATACCTGTCACTTCAAAAAATAGAAGAATCTTTAACACGGTCCTTTGGCAAAGGTGCGGATTGTACCGTGGAGGGCCTCGAATCAAATCTTCTACATTTAGTGCAGTTTTTCAACACTTTACGAATAGTTTTACGACTTTTCAAAATCCAGAAATTTTCTCGTAGCATTGCCATTAAAGTCTGAGTTCCGCAATGCATTTGTTGTTCATGTTTTTCCATAATCAGTTTAGAGACAACTGGATGTTCAGGAGGTAGGATTACAGGTGTTCTAAAATTTTCGAAGTCTTGTCTCATTAATATTCTTGACTTTACTCTTAAAAGACCAGATGAATCAACAAATGGTTTTAAATTTCGTAAGCGTTTATCCTTTTCTGTTTTAAAGGAGACCCTTTGCACAATTTTCCAAACAAGGAACTTCAGCTGCATTCAATTCTTCGATTTCTAAGTTCTTTGACGTTGTTCTGTTTTTATCTCTGCAGTTATCAATATACCTTTTTATCCAAGCTGTAACTCTAATTATTTTCTCAAAAGAAGAAATTCGTGAGAAATGCGAAAATTCTTCATCTACATTTGTTAACGAGGATACAACTGTTTTTTTCTTCTTTCTCGATCAATCATATCTTTGTCAGGAGAAATATCACAAGTAGGCCAACAGTCTGGATTCAACTTCAACCATGCTGGACCTTCATGCCATCTTTTGGCTTTAATAGTTTCAACAGAACATCCTCTTGACGGAATATCCGCAGGATTCAAGTTGCCAGGAACATAATTCCATGCATCAGGATTAGTAAGAGCTCGTATTTCTTTCACTCTATTCATAACAAATACACCCCAATTTTCTTCATTCTTAATCCAGTACAATGTGTTCCTTGAATCTGTCCAATAAAACGTAGGTATATTTTCTTCCTTCAAATCTTGTTTTATAGATTTCATTAATCTTGCACCAACAACACAAGCTAATAATTCTAGTCTACAAATTGATGTGGGTTTTAGAGGAGCAACTCTAGATCGTGCTTGAACTAAATGACAACGAAACTTTATTTTCATTTTCATTTCTTAAATAAACGCAGGTTGCATATGCCATTCGGGATGCATCACAAAATATATGAAAGGATAATTTCAATTCAGAATCAATATTAAGCATCATCTGTCGAGGAATTTTTATTTCTGTTAAACGATTTGCATCATTTTTCCATTTCATGTATTTCCTTTGAATTTCTTCAGGAAGAGCTTCATCCCAAGTTACTTTTAATTCCCAGCAGTTTTGTAACAGAATTTTAGGAATTAAAATTATAGGGCAGGTGAATCCAATAGGGTCATCATAAATTTTATGAATTTCAGACAAAATTGTTCTTTTAGTAACAGGTTTGTTTTTTGATTCATTTAATCCCTTAATATCACAACTTAATGTGTCATCATGCAAATTCCAAAGAAGTCCCAAAATGTTGACCGTTTTAGCTTCACAAGGATCATCGAAAAACTCATTCTCATTTAATTTATCAAGCTTCGACTGTTCTAAAATGGGTTCAACAACAAATGCATCCCTTTTATTTCGAGGATAGTTATATGCCCACTCTTGTAATTCAAATTTAGCACTTGCCAAAATTTCAGTGGCATCATTTTTTAACTTCTTTAATTCTGATTCATCATTCACACTTGTAACTAAATTATCAACGTACCAGGATTCTACTAATTTATTAGCACTCGCACGATAATTTTCTGGTACTTCATTCATTAATTTCGTTAGTGTTGCATTTAAGAGAAATGGACTGCTGGTTATTCCAAAGACCACTCTTCTATGCCTGTATATTTTCAAACGCTCAGAATTTCCCTGTTCCCACCATAAAAATCTTAAATAATCTCTGTCTTTAGGATTAAGTGCTATCTGCAGAAAAGCCTTCTTAATATCAGCGCTCACGCCAATTTTTCCCAGTCGAAATCTATTTATTATAGCTGGAACAGTATCAATCAAATTTGGACCCTTTTCCAAACAGTCATTTACGGAAGGGTGATCCTTTAGTTCTTACGGATCCATCGAAAACCGGTCTTATTTTTGTCGTGGTGGAATTCATTCGAATAACAGCACGATGGGGTAAATAATGAGAGGGGTTATTAACTTCTTCCTCAGGAACAATCTCTATTATTTTATCATCATCTTCCCAAGATTTAAAAATTGCGTTATAATCTTCTAAAAATCCCCCATCCCTTAAATTCTTCACTGTGCTCTTTAATCTCTTTTTCTGCTATTTCTCGATAGTTTGGAAGTAGGGAACGATTTTCAATCCAAGGTAAACAAACTTGAAACCTTCCTTCTTCATCTCTTTTCACATTGGAAAGAAAATGTGTCATTGTTTGTTTTTCTAATTCCCTTTTAGTTTGACTTTCTGAAGGGTCTAATATCCCAAGAGTATCAAGTTTCCATAAATCAGAAATTTTACTATCTGATACTAACATAGAAAATGCATAAGAACAATCATATTTATTTTCCATTTCTACGGGAATTTTCCCCATGATACTCCAGCCTAAATAAGTTTCAATGCAAACTAATCCACATTCTAACTTCTTTATTTTCCCTGTAAGCAATTTTCCCGCTATGTCTGCGCCTATGAGGATATGAATTTCAGAAGGAGAATGCTCGAACAACAATTTTTTATGCCTACCTTCAACATCATTCAAAAATATGTTATGGGTTTTTAACTCATTTAAATAAGGCTTGATGTTCAATTGTGGAATATCAGAACAAATATTCGCTTGATCAAAAGCTTTGAAGTTACACTGATAATCGTTTTTGATACTACTTAAACGTACAACGAACTGTTTATGAGTTTCAACCACTTCAGTTCCTCCGAACAGACTATGAATCACACTGCTTTCGTTAATACATTCGTACTGCATAGCATTAGCTAAGAATTTAGATACATAGCTTCGTTGACTCCCAGAATCAATTAAACAGCGGCAGTATTTTTCTGGACCATTGCCACGCACTCTTACAACTAAAGTTTGTAATAAAACTTTCTCTAAACATGATTTGTTCGTCAAATTGAGATCCTTCTTATTTGATTTTTTCTCATCTAAACTATTTCTGTCACAGATTAAACTGTTGTGTTTCCACCCACATGAATCACACTTTATCTTCGAAAAGCAATTTTTTGCCAAATGGTTACCCCTTTTAAGGCATAAATAACACATTCCGAGTTTCCGAAGTGAGTGACGCCTTTCTGTCTGTTACAGACTTCGGGCAAGCTTCGGAAGTATGTTTTTTCTTTTTCTGAATCCTCGCAAAATATGCAGCTGTTAATTGAAACCTTTAACACAGCAGCCGTTGGAATAGAAATTTTATTTATTCTTTTTTCTTTAGGAAAGTGGCTCGAATTATGGTTGTTTATTTTATCTTGAATTTGTAGCATGGATTCGCGGCACTCAATTTCCGTTTTCAAGAACTCTAATAATTCGTTTACATCGAAATTATCTTTCGATTTCCTTTTTCTTTGGAAATCAAGATTCAGTTCATTCGGAATTAATTTTAATAAAACTGGTGTCAATAACGTCCCATATGTGCCAGAAGTTACATTAAGTGATTTTAAACTTCTTATCTGTATTTCGATATCATCATACAACTTACGTAATGCAAATATGTTGTTAGCATTCCTAACAGGTTCTAAATTTAACAGTTTTCCCATATGTGCATTTATAATTAAATCTGTTCGACCAAAGCGTGTTTTTAATAACTCGATTGCGGCAAAATAATTTTCACTTGATAATGCAAAACCACTAACAGCATTACAAGCAGCACCTGATAAAAATGATATCAAATAATTAAATTTGTCTGTATCTGTTAAATCACTATTCTGATGTATCGCATTGTCAAACTGGTTCCAAAATGATAACCAATTAACAGGATCGCCATTAAATTTATTGATCGATAATTTAGGCAATTTAATTTTTGAATGAGATACAGAAATATTTGAAATATCATTATTCACAATATTACCAATTGTATTCGAAACAGGAATTTCAGGTTTCCTATTCTCTTTTAACATAAATGTTAGTTTTGATTTCATGGAAATTATTTTCTCGGAATAAACTTCACAAGTTTCAAATTCCGATTCATATTCAGTAGCCTCAATTAATTCTTGTATTTGTTTATCTAATTCTTTTAGGCTGTTATATTTTGAATCTAATAAATCAATATTTTCATTAAGAATACACAAATCGTGTTCTGTTTCTTGGAGGTATTCTTTACAATTATTTATCAACTTTGTTGTCATACTCCTAACTACAGTTCGTCTTTTCTTTAATTCTTCTATTTTAGTAGACATGTTTAAATATTTCAGATAGAAAATATTTCAAATTAAAAATCAGTACTCTCAAATCATAAATAAACTTCTCAAATCAAAAGGAGATATTTTTTAAACATTCCTAAATCTTTCACTTCAATATAGTCTACATCGGCGGTCCCTGTTCGGGCGCCAAAAAATTTTATATCGTTTCAATTCAGTAAAAAACAGATCATTCAAAATTCTAGATAAGCAAATGAAGAAAGGTTGCTTACCTTTATGATCCGCTTTCTTCGATTCTGGTCCGCCGCTTTTGTAGACTCCGATTTGGTTTCAAACTCATCTAAAATTGGCACTATTTTGTATGAATCACTTTATTTGACATTTCACACAAAAGAGGAACAATATCTAAATCATTACACTATCAAAAAAAAAACACTTCTAACTACTTAGCATCATTGTTCTACATATCTAACAGCGTCATTAGTCTACTGCGTCACTG